CGCAATGCACTCGACACGTCTCTACCACGAACGATGCACTCTGTCGCGTTCCAACAGGAACACTTGGCACAGAGCGGTCCACGCTATGAAGAGCGCATCTTGTGGAGTTGAAATGCCAAAGCAACAGAGCCCTTGCGATTTATCAACTATCCGCTGGACCCCCACGCACCCGCTCACAGATTCACAATAGCATCCAAGTTCAAAAGACCATTTGATGTGACGGGGCTACCCGGCTGACCCCCGACTATGCCGTCTCTCGAGCGTGCCAGCACGCACACATTGGTTACCAGTAATGGTTGGAAGTTAAACGCAATGCAGAGATTGGTGTTCGCACACGCGTTGCAACACGCTCGGACGCTGTCCGCGCCTATGGACACGATCACATCGAGATCCAGCAACTGGGCACCGTTCTCAACTGGAGCACCGCCATCGCCACCGATGTTGTTGCACTGTGAAGAGGGCGACGGGGACCCGGCGGTGTCGAAGTTAGGCATCATCTGGTAAGTCGGCTCCGTCTGGTACGTCGTGCTCCGTCTGGTACGTCGGTGTCGACTTGACGTGAGGCTCCGTCTGATAAGTGTGCGGTGACCAGGTCGTGCCATCCACTGCGGTCGGTTTAGGCATGGCTCTCAAGTTACGAGTGCTGGAGACTCCGACAGGTCCTGCCAACGAGTAGGTGGCATCGTGTTGCGCGAAGAGCGGGACATCGGCGGATGCAAGACCTGCGGCGAGAATGCCGGCTAAGATCAAGTTGGTCGAGAACATTGTAGATGGGAAAAGGAGGTTGGTGTTGCTGCTAAAGAGTAAAATGAGGAATAAAACTTGTAGCGCCAAAAGACACAGCGGGTCGTCAGGTGCTTCAGCAGACACAAGAAGAGAGCTTTCGGATGTCATTCGTGCGTTTCAAAGCTTTCGAATGAACGAGGATAGTGGAACCTAAGCTACAAGTTATAATACTCGTCCGTAGACAAAAGCGGTTGAGACAAGCGGCGGCAGTCAGGACTTTCACGAAAGGTTTCAGTGCGTTTATGAATCTGCTCCGAAGTTGACTTGGACGCCAGTCATGTGTCTGTTGCAGTTGCGACACTTTTGATACGTATCGAGTAAAAGCAAATATATGATGTGTTGGAGTGAAAGGCCAACACACACATATGGTAGAACTCATCGAGTACTTGCGCGAATGTGTGTACCGACCTCAAATCAGGTCAACTCGTGCACGTCTATGAGAAGTGTAGCGAGTCCCGATGAAGGACCGAGATTCACATAGCGTGGGTATGCCCACGCATCTGAAAGCTCTTTGCTGGGCATTATTGGAACCAATCTAGCACGAGCGCATCCAAACACCGAAGGGTGGGGCGTGTCATCAAGTTGTTTTCCAATGGGGAGGATCATCCGTTTGGCATGACGATCGACACAGCATAGAAAAAACAGAAGTGGGTATTCGCTGTCGGTCGGTCGGCACAGGCCATGAGTCCTCTTCGTATACTGATGCAAGCTGACTTTCGATCTTGTCCGGGCGTCTCCGACGATGGTTTATCATGAATGAAAGCTCTCGGAGTATTCCGAGCGTCTAATCGTTCGTCACGAATGAAGCTCTCATTCTTCCAGACGAATGAAATCTAATTTAGGTGCGACCAGACAAAACCACAAACCTTTTACTAACCGATCGTGACTTATGATTGCCATGAACTTGGCGAGGGTAAAACGGGTGTGAACCTGGTAGAACAACTTCATATCATTGGTTCAGTCAATTTGGTCAACGTACTAAACGCTTTCCTTTGCACTATTTTCCGACGTCTGCTGATGAACTTGTCGACTTGCACCTGTCATAACGATGGGTAGCCAATTACGCCATACAGCTACGAAAGCAACGCACTGGCCTATGTATTCCAAAAGGTCAACAACAAGATTCGATCTAGTAGAAGAAAAAAGAAGGTCAAAAACACGTCTACATTCAAAAGTATGTTTTTCTTTATCCGACCACTAGTTTCAAGAAACTATTTGAAGCCTCTATCACGTCGGTAGTATGACGCGCAATGCACTCGACACGTCTCTATCACGAACGATGCACTCTGTCGCGTTCCAACAGGAACACTTGGCACAGAGCGGTCCACGCTATGAAGAGCGCATCTTGTGGAGTTGAAATGCCAAAGCAACAGAGCCCTTGCGATTTATCAACTATCCGCTGGACCCCCACGCACCCGCTCACAGATTCACAATAGCATCCAAGTTCAAAAGACCATTTGATGTGACGGGGCTACCCGGCTGACCCCCGACTATGCCGTCTCTCGAGCGTGCCAGCACGCACACATTGGTTACCAGTAATGGTTGGAAGTTGAACGCAATGCAGAGATTGGTGTTCGCACACGCGTTGCAACACGCTCGGACGCTGTCCGCGCCTATGGACACGATCACATCGAGATCCAGCAACTGGGCACCGTTCTCAACTGGGGCACCGCCATCGCCACCGATGTTGTTGCACTGTGAAGAGGGCGACGGGGACCCGGCGGTGTCGAAGTTAGGCATCATCTGGTAAGTCGGCTCCGTCTGGTACGTCGTGCTCCGTCTGGTACGTCGGTGTCGACTTGACGTGAGGCTCCGACTGATAAGTGTGCGGTGACCAGGTCGTGCCATCCACTGCGGTCGGTTTAGGCATGGCTCTCAAGTTACGAGTGCTGGAGACTCCGACAGGTCCTGCCAACGAGTAGGTGGCATCGTGTTGCGCGAAGAGCGGGACATCGGCGGATGCAAGACCTGCGGCGAGAATGCCGGCTAAGATCAAGTTGGTCGAGAACATTGTAGATGGGAAAAGGAGGTTGGTGTTGCTGCTAAAGAGTAAAATGAGGAATAAAACTTGTAGCGCCAAAAGACACAGCGGGTCGTCAGGTGCTTCAGCAGACACAAGAAGAGAGCTTTCGGATGTCATTCGTGCGTTTCAAAGCTTTCGAATGAACGAGGATAGTGGAACCTAAGCTACAAGTTATAATACTCGTCCGTAGACAAAAGCGGTTGAGACAAGCGGCGGCAGTCAGGACTTTCACGAAAGGTTTCAGTGCGTTTATGAATCTGCTCCGAAGTTGACTTGGACGCCAGTCATGTGTCTGTTGCAGTTGCGACACTTTTGATACGTATCGAGTAAAAGCAAATATATGATGTGTTGGAGTGAAAGGCCAACACACACATATGGTAGAACTCATCGAGTACTTGCGCGAATGTGTGTACCGACCTCAAATCAGGTCAACTCGTGCACGTCTATGAGAAGTGTAGCGAGTCCCGATGAAGGACCGAGATTCACATAGCGTGGGTATGCCCACGCATCTGAAAGCTCTTTGCTGGGCATTATTGGAACCAATCTAGCACGAGCGCATCCAAACACCGAAGGGTGGGGCGTGTCATCAAGTTGTTTTCCAATGGGGAGGATCATCCGTTTGGCATTACGATCGACACAGCATAGAAAAAACGTGGGTGTTACGCTGTCGGTCGGTCGGCACAGGCCATGAGTCCTCTTCGTATACTGATGCAAGCTGACTTTCGATCTTGTCCGGGCGTCTCCGACGATGGTTTATCATGAATGAAAGCTCTCGGAGTATTCCGAGCGTCTAATCGTTCGTCATGAATGAAGCTCTCATTCTTCCAGACGAATGAAATCTAATTTAGGTGCGACCAGACAAAACCACAAACCTTTTACTAACCGATCGTGACTTATGATTGCCATGAACTTGGCGAGGGTAAAACGGGTATGAACGTGGTAGAACAACTTCATATCATTGGTTCAGTCAATTTGGTCAACGTACTAAACGCTTTCCTTTGCACTATTTTCCGACGTCTGCTGATGAACTTGTCGACTTGCACCTGTCATAACGATGGGTAGCCAATTACGCCATACAGCTACGAAAGCAGTGCGCTGGCCTATGTATTCCAAAAGATCAACAACAAGATTCGATCTAGTAGAAGAAGAAAAGAAGGTCAAAAACACGTCTACATTCAAAAGTATGTTTTTCTTTATCCGACCACTAGTTTCAAGAAACTATTTGAAGCCTCTATCACGTCGGTAGTATGACGCGCAATGCACTCGACACGTCTCTCTCACGAACGATGCACTCTGTCGCGTTCCAACAGGAACACTTGGCACAGAGCGGTCCACGCTATGAAGAGCGCATCTTGTGGAGTTGAAATGCCAAAGCAACAGAGCCCTTGCGATTTATCAACTATCCGCTGGACCCCCACGCACCCGCTCACAGATTCACAATAGCATCCAAGTTCAAAAGACCATTTGATGTGACGGGGCTACCCGGCTGACCCCCGACTATGCCGTCTCTCGAGCGTGCCAGCACGCACACATTGGTTACCAGTAATGGTTGGAAGTTGAACGCAATGCAGAGATTGGTGTTCGCACACGCGTTGCAACACGCTCGGACGCTGTCCGCGCCTATGGACACGATCACATCGAGATCCAGCAACTGGGCACCGTTCTCAACTGGGGCACCGCCATCGCCACCGATGTTGTTGCACTGTGAAGAGGGCGACGGGGACCCGGCGGTGTCGAAGTTAGGCATCATCTGGTAAGTCGGCTCCGTCTGGTACGTCTGCTCCGTCTGGTACGTCGGTGTCGACTTGACGTGAGGCTCCGACTGATAAGTGTGCGGTGACCAGGTCGTGCCATCCACTGCGGTCGGTTTAGGCATGGCTCTCAAGTTACGAGTGCTGGAGACTCCGACAGGTCCTGCCAACGAGTAGGTGGCATCGTGTTGCGCGAAGAGCGGGACATCGGCGGATGCAAGACCTGCGGCGAGAATGCCGGCTAAGATCAAGTTGGTCGAGAACATTGTAGATGGGAAAAGGAGGTTGGTGTTGCTGCTAAAGAGTAAAATGAGGAATAAAACTTGTAGCGCCAAAAGACACAGCGGGTCGTCAGGTGCTTCAGCAGACACAAGAAGAGAGCTTTCGGATGTCATTCGTGCGTTTCAAAGCTTTCGAATGAGCGAGGATAGTGGAACCTAAGCTACAAGTTATAATACTCGTCCGTAGACAAAAGCGGTTGAGACAAGCGGCGGCAGTCAGGACTTTCACGAAAGGTTTCAGTGCGTTTATGAATCTGCTCCGAAGGTGACTTGGACGCTAGTCATGTGTCTGTTGCAGTTGCGACACTTTTGATACGTATCGAGTAAAAGCAAATATATGATGTGTTGGAGTGAAAGGCCAACACACACATATGGTAGAACTCATCGAGTACTTGCACGAATGTGTGTACCGACCTCAAATCAGGTCAACTCGTGCACGTCTATGAGAAGTGTAGCGAGTCCCGATGAAGGACCGAGATTCACATAGCGTGGGTATGCCCACGCATCTGAAAGCTCTTTGCTGGGCATTATTGGAACCAATCTAGCACGAGCGCATCCAAACACCGAAGGGTGGGGCGTGTCATCAAGTTGTTTTCCAATGGGGAGGATCATCCGTTTGGCATTACGATCGACACAGCATAGAAAAAACGTGGGTGTTACGCTGTCGGTCGGTCGGCACAGGCCATGAGTCCTCTTCGTATACTGATGCAAGCTGACTTTCGATCTTGTCCGGGCGTCTCCGACGATGGTTTATCATGAATGAAAGCTCTCGGAGTATTCCGAGTGTCTAATCGTTCGTCATGAATGAAGCTCTCATTCTTCCAGACGAATGAAATCTAATTTAGGTGCGACCAGACAAAACCACAAACCTTTTACTAACCGATCGTGACTTATGATTGCCATGAACTTGGCGAGGGTAAAACGGGTATGAACCTGGTAGAACAACTTCATATCATTGGTTCAGTCAATTTGGTCAACGTACTAAACGCTTTCCTTTGCACTATTTTCCGACGTCTGCTGATGAACTTGTCGACTTGCACCTGTCATAACGATGGGTAGCCAATTGCGCCATACAGCTACGAAAGCAGTGCGCTGGCCTATGTATTCCAAAAGATCAACAACAAGATTCGATCTAGTAGAAGAAGAAAAGAAGGTCAAAAACACGTCTACATTCAAAAGTATGTTTTTCTTTATCCGACCACTAGTTTCAAGAAACTATTTGAAGCCTCTATCATGATGACGCGCAATGCACTCGACACGTCTCTCTTACGAACGATGCACTCTGTCGCGTTCCAACAGGAACACTTGGCACAGAGTGGTCCACGCTATGAAGAGCGCATCTTGTGGAGTTGAAATGCCAAAGCAACAGAGCCCTTGCGATTTATCAACTATCCGCTGGACCCCCACGCACCCGCTCACAGATTCACAATAGCATCCAAGTTCAAAAGACCATTTGATGTGACGGGGCTACCCGGCTGACCCCCGACTATGCCGTCTCTCGAGCGTGCCAGCACGCACACATTGGTTACCAGTAATGGTTGGAAGTTGAACGCAATGCAGAGATTGGTGTTCGCACACGCGTTGCAACACGCTCGGACGCTGTCCGCGCCTATGGACACGATCACATCGAGATCCAGCAACTGGGCACCGTTCTCAACTGGGGCACCGCCATCGCCACCGATGTTGTTGCACTGTGAAGAGGGCGACGGGGACCCGGCGGTGTCGAAGTTAGGCATCATCTGGTAAGTCGGCTCCGTCTGGTACGTCTGCTCCGTCTGGTACGTCGGTGTCGACTTGACGTGAGGCTCCGACTGATAAGTGTGTGGTGACCAGGTCGTGCCATCCACTGCGGTCGGTTTAGGCATGGCTCTCAAGTTACGAGTGCTGGAGACTCCGACAGGTCCTGCCAACGAGTAGGTGGCATCGTGTTGCGCGAAGAGCGGGACATCGGCGGATGCAAGACCTGCGGCGAGAATGCCGGCTAAGATCAAGTTGGTCGAGAACATTGTAGATGGGAAAAGGAGGTTGGTGTTGCTGCTAAAGAGTAAAATGAGGAATAAAACTTGTAGCGCCAAAAGACACAGCGGGTCGTCAGGTGCTTCAGCAGACACAAGAAGAGAGCTTTCGGATGTCATTCGTGCGTTTCAAAGCTTTCGAATGAGCGAGGATAGTGGAACCTAAGCTACAAGTTATAATACTCGTCCGTAGACAAAAGCGGTTGAGACAAGCGGCGGCAGTCAGGACTTTCACGAAAGGTTTCAGTGCGTTTATGAATCTGCTCCGAAGGTGACTTGGACGCTAGTCATGTGTCTGTTGCAGTTGCGACACTTTTGATACGTATCGAGTAAAAGCAAATATATGATGTGTTGGAGTGAAAGGCCAACACACACATATGGTAGAACTCATCGAGTACTTGCGCGAATGTGTGTACCGACCTCAAATCAGGTCAACTCGTGCACGTCTATGAGAAGTGTAGCGAGTCCCGATGAAGGACCGAGATTCACATAGCGTGGGTATGCCCACGCATCTGAAAGCTCTTTGCTGGGCATTATTGGAACCAATCTAGCACGAGCGCATCCAAACACCGAAGGGTGGGGCGTGTCATCAAGTTGTTTTCCAATGGGGAGGATCATCCGTTTGGCATTACGATCGACACAGCATAGAAAAAACGTGGGTGTTACGCTGTCGGTCGGTCGGCACAGGCCATGAGTCCTCTTCGTATACTGATGCAAGCTGACTTTCGATCTTGTCCGGGCGTCTCCGACGATGGTTTATCATGAATGAAAGCTCTCGGAGTATTCCGAGTGTCTAATCGTTCGTCATGAATGAAGCTCTCATTCTTCCAGACGAATGAAATCTAATTTAGGTGCGACCAGACAAAACCACAAACCTTTTACTAACCGATCGTGACTTATGATTGCCATGAACTTGGCGAGGGTAAAACGGGTATGAACGTGTTAGAACAACTTCATATCATTGGTTCAGTCAATTTGGTCAACGTACTAAACGCTTTCCTTTGCACTATTTTCCGACGTCTGCTGATGAACTTGTCGACTTGCACCTGTCATAACGATGGGTAGCCAATTGCGCCATACAGCTACGAAAGCAGTGCGCTGGCCTATGTATTCCAAAAGATCAACAACAAGATTCGATCTAGTAGAAGAAGAAAAGCAGGTCAAAAACACGTCTACATTCAAAAGCATGTTTTTCTTTATCCGACCACTAGTTTCAAGAAACTATTTGAAGCCTCTATCAGTGATGACGCGCAATGCACTCGACACGTCTCTATCTTACGAACGATGCACTCTGTCGCGTTCCAACAGGAACACTTGGCACAGAGTGGTCCACGCTATGAAGAGCGCATCTTGTGGAGTTGAGATGCCAAAGCAACAGAGCCCTTGCGATTTATCAACTATCCGCTGGACCCCCACGCACCCGCTCACAGATTCACAATAGCATCCAAGTTCAAAAGACCATTTGATGTGACGGGGCTACCCGGCTGACCCCCGACTATGCCGTCTCTCGAGCGTGCCAGCACGCACACATTGGTTACCAGTAATGGTTGGAAGTTGAACGCAATGCAGAGATTGGTGTTCGCACACGCGTTGCAACACGCTCGGACGCTGTCCGCGCCTATGGACACGATCACATCGAGATCCAGCAACTGGGCACCGTTCTCAACTGGAGCACCGCCATCGCCACCGATGTTGTTGCACTGTGAAGAGGGCGACGGGGACCCGGCGGTGTCGAAGTTAGGCATCATCTGGTAAGTCGGCTCCGTCTGGTACGTCTGCTCCGTCTGGTACGTCGGTGTCGACTTGACGTGAGGCTCCGACTGATAAGTGTGTGGTGACCAGGTCGTGCCATCCACTGCGGTCGGTTTAGGCATGGCTCTCAAGTTACGAGTGCTGGAGACTCCGACAGGTCCTGCCAACGAGTAGGTGGCATCGTGTTGCGCGAAGAGCGGGACATCGGCGGATGCAAGACCTGCGGCGAGAATGCCGGCTAAGATCAAGTTGGTCGAGAACATTGTAGATGGGAAAAGGAGGTTGGTGTTGCTGCTAAAGAGTAAAATGAGGAATAAAACTTGTAGCGCCAAAAGACACAGCGGGTCGTCAGGTGCTTCAGCAGACACAAGAAGAGAGCTTTCGGATGTCATTCGTGCGTTTCAAAGCTTTCGAATGAGCGAGGATAGTGGAACCTAAGCTACAAGTTATAATACTCGTCCGTAGACAAAAGCGGTTGAGACAAGCGGCGGCAGTCAGGACTTTCACGAAAGGTTTCAGTGCGTTTATGAATCTGCTCCGAAGTTGACTTGGACGCTAGTCATGTGTCTGTTGCAGTTGCGACACTTTTGATACGTATCGAGTAAAAGCAAATATATGATGTGTTGGAGTGAAAGGCCAACACACACATATGGTAGAATTCATCGAGTACTTGCACGAATGTGTGTACCGACCTCAAATCAGGTCAACTCGCTGACGTCTATGAGAAGTGTAGCGAGTCCCGATGAAGGACCGAGATTCACATAGCGTGGGTATGCCCACGCATCTGAAAGCTCTTTGCTGGGCATTATTGGAACCAATCTAGCACGAGCGCATCCAAACACCGAAGGGTGGGGCGTGTCATCAAGTTGTTTTCCAATGGGGAGGATCATCCGTTTGGCATTACGATCGACACAGCATAGAAAAAACAGGTGGGTGTTACGCTGTCGGTCGGTCGGCACAGGCCATGAGTCCTCTTCGTATACTGATGCAAGCTGACTTTCGATCTTGTCCGGGCGTCTCCGACGATGGTTTATCATGAATGAAAGCTCTCGGAGTATTCCGAGTGTCTAATCGTTCGTCATGAATGAAGCTCTCATTCTTCCAGACGAATGAAATCTAATTTAGGTGCGACCAGACAAAACCACAAACCTTTTACTAACCGATCGTGACTTATGATTGCCATGAACTTGGCGAGGGTAAAACGGGTATGAACGTGTTAGAACAACTTCATATCATTGGTTCAGTCAATTTGGTCAACGTACTAAACGCTTTCCTTTGCACTATTTTCCGACGTCTGCTGATGAACTTGTCGACTTGCACCTGTCATAACGATGGGTAGCCAATTGCGCCATACAGCTACGAAAGCAACGCGCTGGCCTATGTATTCCAAAAGGTCAACAACAAGATTCGATCTAGTAGAAGAAGAAAAGAAGGTCAAAAACACGTCTACATTCAAAAGCATGTTTTTCTTTATCCGACCACTAGTTTCAAGAAACTATTTGAAGCCTCTATCACGTCGGTATGATGACGCGCAATGCACTCGACACGTCTCTATCACGAACGATGCACTCTGTCGCGTTCCAACAGGAACACTTGGCACAGAGCGGTCCACGCTATGAAGAGCGCATCTTGTGGAGTTGAGATGCCAAAGCAGCAGAGCCCTTGCGATTTATCAACTATCCGCTGGACCCCCACGCACCCGCTCACAGATTCACAATAGCATCCAAGTTCAAAAGACCATTTGATGTGACGGGGCTACCCGGCTGACCCCCGACTATGCCGTCTCTCGAGCGTGCCAGCACGCACACATTGGTTACCAGTAGTGGTTGGAAGTTGAACGCAATGCAGAGATTGGTGTTCGCACACGCGTTGCAACACGCTCGGACGCTGTCCGCGCCTATGGACACGATCACATCAAGATCCAGCAACTGGGCACCGTTCTCAACTGGGGCACCGCCATCGCCACCGATATTGTTGCACTGTGAAGCGGGCGACGGGGACCCGGCGGTGTCGAAGTTAGGCATCATCTGGTAAGTCGGCTCCGTCTGGTACGTCGGTGCTCCGTCTGGTACGTCGGTGTCGACTTGACGTGAGGCTCCGCCTCATAAGTGTGCGGTGACCAGGTCGTTCCATCCACTGCGGTCGGTTTAGGCATGGCTCTCAAGTTACGAGTGCTGGAGACTCCGACAGGTCCTGCCAACGAGTAGGTGGCATCGTGATGCGCGAAGAGCGGGACATCGGCGGATGCAAGACCTGCGGCGAGAATGCCGGCTAAGATCAAGTTGGTCGAGAACATTGTAGATGGGAAAAGGAGGTTGGTGTTGCTGCTAAAGAGTAAAATGAGGAATAAAACTTGTAGCGCCAAACGACACAGCGGGTCGTCAGGTGACTTCAGCAGACACAAGCAGAGAGCTTTCGGATGTCATTCGTGCGTTTCAAAGCTTTCGAATGAACGAGGATAGTGGAACCTAAGCTACAAGTTATAATACTCGTCCGTAAAACAAAAGCGGTTGAGACAAGCGGCGGCAGTCAGGACTTTCACGAAAGGTTTCAGTGCGTTTATGAATCTGCTCCGAAGTTGACTTGGACGCTAGTCATGTGTCTGTTGCAGTTGCGATACTTTTGATACGTATCGAGTAGACACAAATATATGATGTGTTGGAGTGAAAGGCCAACACACACATATGGTAGAGTTGATCGAGTACTTGCACGAATGTGTGTACCGACCTCAAATCAGGTCAACTCGCTGCACGTCTTTGAGAAGTGTAACAAGTCCCGATGAAGGACCGAGATTCACATAGCGTGGGTATGCCCACGCATCTGAAAGCTCTTTGCTGGGAAATATTGAAACCAATCTAGCACGAGTGTATCCAAACACCGAAGGGTGGGGCGTGTCATCAAGTTGTTTTCCAATGGGCGAGGATCATCCGTTAGCATGACGATCGACACAGCACAGAAAAAACAGAAGTGGGTATCGCTGTCGGTCGGTCGGCACAGGCCATGAGTCCTCTTCGTATACTGATGCAAGCTGACTTTCGATCTTGTCCGGGCGTCTCCGACGATGGTTTATCATGAATGAAAGCTCTCGGAGTATTCCGAGCGTCTAATCGTTCGTCATGAATGAAGCTCTCATTCTTCCAGACGAATGAAATCTAATTTAGGTGCGACCGGACAAAACCACAAACCTTTTACTAACCGATCGTGACTTATGATTGCCATGAACTTGGCGAGGGTAAAACGGGTATGAACCTGGTAGAACAACTTCATATCATTGGTTCAGTCAATTTGGTCAACGTACTAAACGCTTTCGTTTGCACTATTTTCCGACGTCTGCTGATGAACTTGTCGACTTGCACCTGTCATAACGATGGGTAGCCAATTACGCCATACAGCTACGAAAGCAACGCACTGGCCTATGTATTCCAAAAGGTCAACAACAAGATTCGATCTAGTAGAAGATAAAAAGAAGGTCAAAAACACGTCTACATTCAAAAGTATGTTTTTCTTTATCCGACCACTAGTTTCGAGAAACTATTTGAAGCCTCTATCACGTCGGTATGATGACGCGCAATGCACTCGACACGTCTCTATCACGAACGATGCACTCTGTTGCGTTCCAACAGGAACACTTGGCACAGAGCGGTCCACGCTATGAAGAGCGCATCTTGTGGAGTTGAGATACCAAAGCAGCAGAGCCCTTGCGATTTATCAACTATCCGCTGGACCCCCACGCACCCGCTCACAGATTCACAATAGCATCCAAGTTCAAAAGACCATTTGATGCGACGGGGCTACCCGGCTGACCCCCGACTATGCCGTCTCTCGAGCGTGCCAGCACGCACACATTGGTTACCAGGAGTGGTTGGAAGTTGAACGCAATGCATAGATTGGTGTTCGCACACGCGTTGCAACACGCTCGGACGCTGTCCGCGCCTATGGACACGATCACATCAAGATCCAGCAACTGGGCACCGTTCTCAACTGGGGCACCGCCATCGCCACCGATATTGTTGCACTGTGAAGCGGGCGACGGGGACCCGGCGGTGTCGAAGTTAGGCATCATCTGGTAAGTCGGCTCCGTCTGGTACGTCGGTGTCGACATAACGTGAGGCTTCGCCTGGTACGTCGGTGTCGGCTTGACGTGAGGCTCCGCCTCATAAGTGTGCGGTGACCAGGTCGTTCCATCCACTGCGGTCGGTTTAGGCATGGCTCTCAAGTTACGAGTGCTGGAGACTCCGACAGGTCCTGCCAACGAGTAGGTGGCATCGTGATGCGCGAAGAGCGGGACATCGGCGGATGCAAGACCTGCGGCGAGAATGCCGGCTAAGATCAAGTTGGTCGAGAACATTGTAGATGGGAAGAGGAGGTTGGTGTTGCTGCCAAAGAGTAAAATGAGGAATTAACCTTGTAGCGCCAACGACACAGCGGGTCGTCAGGTGATTTCAGTAGACACAAGCAGAGAGCTTTCGGATGTCTTTCGTGCGTTTCAAAGCTTTCGAATGAACGAGGATAGTGGAACCTAAGCTACAAGTTATAATACTCGTCCGTAAAACAAAAGCGGTTGAGACAAGCGGCGGCAGTCAGGACTTTCGCGAAAGGTTTCAGTGCGTTTATGAATCTGCTCCGAAGTTGACTTGGACGCTAGTCATGTGTCTGTTGCAGTTGCGATACTTTTGATACGTATCGAGTAGACACAAATATATGATGTGTTGGAGTGAAAGGCCAACACACACATATGGTAGAGTTGATCGAGTACTTGCACGAATGTGTCCACCGATCTCAAATCAGGTCAACTCGCTGCACGTCTTTGAGAAGTGTAACAAGTCCCGATGAAGGACCGAGATTCACATAGCGTGGGTATGCCCACGCATCTGAAAGCTCTTTGCTGGGAAATATTGAAACCAATCTAGCACGAGTGTATCCAAACACCGAAGGGTGGGGCGTGTCATCAAGGTGTTTTCCAATGGGCGAGGATCATCCGTTAGCATGACGATCGACACAGCACAGAAAAAACAGAAGTGGGTATCGCTGTCGGTCGGTCGGCACAGGCCATGAGTCCTTTTCGTATACTGATGCAAGCTGACTTTCGATCTTGTCCGGGCGTCTCCGACGATGGTTTATCATGAATGAAAGCTCTCGGAGTATTCCGAGCGTCTAATCGTTCGTCATGAATGAAGCTCTCATTCTTCCAGACGAATAAAATCTAATTTAGGTGCGACCGGACAAAACCACAAACCTTTTACTAACCGATCGTGACTTATGATTGCCATGAACTTGGCGAGGGTAAAACGGGTGTGGATCTGGTAGAACAACTTCATATCATTGGTTCAGTCAATTCGGTCAACACTTTCGTTTGCACTATTTTCCGACGTCTGCTGATGAACTTGTCGACTTGCACCTGTCATAACGATGGGTAGCCAATTACGCCATACAGCTACGAAAGCAACGCACTGGCCTATGTATTCCGAAAGGTCAACAACAAGATTCGATCTAGTAGAAGATAAAAAGAAGGTCAAAAACACGTCTACATTCAAAAGTATGTTTTTCTTTATCCGACCACTAGTTTCGAGAAACTATTTGAAGCCTCTATCACGTCGGTATGATGACGCGCAATGCACTCGACACGTCTCTATCACGAACGATGCACTCTGTTGCGTTCCAACAGGAACACTTGGCACAGAGCGGTCCACGCTATGAAGAGCGCATCTTGTGGAGTTGAGATACCAAAGCAGCAGAGCCCTTGCGATTTATCAACTATCCGCTGGACCCCCACGCACCCGCTCACAGATTCACAATAGCATCCAAGTTCAAAAGACCATTTGATGCGACGGGGCTACCCGGCTGACCCCCGACTATGCCGTCTCTCGAGCGTGCCAGCACGCACACATTGGTTACCAGGAGTGGTTGGAAGTTGAACGCAATGCATAGATTGGTGTTCGCACACGCGTTGCAACACGCTCGGACGCTGTCCGCGCCTATGGACACGATCACATCAAGATCCAGCAACTGGGCACCGTTCTCAACTGGGGCACCGCCATCGCCACCGATATTGTTGCACTGTGAAGCGGGCGACGGGGACCCGGCGGTGTCGAAGTTAGGCATCATCTGGTAAGTCGGCTCCGTCTGGTACGTCGGTGTGACATAACTGAGGCTCCGTCTGGTACGTCGGTGTCGGCTTGACGTGAGGCTCCGCCTCATAAGTGTGCGGTGACCAGGTCGTTCCATCCACTGCGGTCGGTTTAGGCATGGCTCTCAAGTTACGAGTGCTGGAGACTCCGACAGGTCCTGCCAACGAGTAGGTGGCATCGTGATGCGCGAAGAGCGGGACATCGGCGGATGCAAGACCTGCGGCGAGAATGCCGGCTAAGATCAAGTTGGTCGAGAACATTGTAGATGGGAAGAGGAGGTTGGTGTTGCTGCCAAAGAGTAAAATGAGGAATAAACCTTGTAGCGCCAACGACACAGCGGGTCGTCAGGTGATTTCAGTAGACACAAGCAGAGAGCTTTCGGATGTCTTTCGTGCGTTTCAAAGCTTTCGAATGAACGAGGATAGTGGAACCTAAGCTACAAGTTATAATACTCGTCCGTAAAACAAAAGCGGTTGAGACAAGCGGCGGCAGTCAGGACTTTCGCGAAAGGTTTCAGTGCGTTTATGAATCTGCTCCGAAGTTGACTTGGACGATAGTCATGTGTCTGTTGCAGTTGCGATACTTTTGATACGTATCGAGTAGACACAAATATATGATGTGTTGGAGTGAAAGGCCAACACACACATATGGTAGAGTTGATCGAGTACTTGCACGAATGTGTCCACCGATCTCAAATCAGGTCAACTCGCTGCACGTCTTTGAGAAGTGTAACAAGTCCCGATGAAGGACCGAGATTCACATAGCGTGGGTATGCCCACGCATCTGAAAGCTCTTTGCTGGGAAATATTGAAACCAATCTAGCACGAGTGTATCCAAACACCGAAGGGTGGGGCGTGTCATCAAGGTGTTTTCCAATGGGCGAGGATCATCCGTTAGCATGACGATCGACACAGCACAGAAAAAACAGAAGTGGGTATCGCTGTCGGTCGGTCGGCACAGGCCATGAGTCCTTTTCGTATACTGATGCAAGCTGACTTTCGATCTTGTCCGGGCGTCTCCGACGATGGTTTATCATGAATGAAAGCTCTCGGAGTATTCCGAGCGTCTAATCGTTCGTCATGAATGAAGCTCTCATTCTTCCAGACGAATAAAATCTAATTTAGGTGCGACCGGACAAAACCACAAACCTTTTACTAACCGATCGTGACTTATGATTGCCATGAACTTGGCGAGGGTAAAACGGGTGTGGATCTGGTAGAACAACTTCATATCATTGGTTCAGTCAATTCGGTCAACTATAAAGCTTTCGTTTGCACTATTTTCCGACGTCTGCTGATGAACTTGTCGACTTGCACCTGTCATAACGATGGGTAGCCAATTACGCCATACAGCTACGAAAGCAACGCACTGGCCTATGTATTCCAAAAGGTCAACAACAAGATTCGATCTAGTAGAAGATAAAAAGAAGGTCAAAAACACGTCTACATTCAAAAGTATGTTTTTCTTTATCCGACCACTAGTTTCGAGAAACTATTTGAAGCCTCTATCACGTCGGTATGATGACGCGCAATGCACTCGACACGTCTCTATCACGAACGATGCACTCTATTGCGTTCCAACAGGAACACTTGGCACAGAGCGGTCCACGCTATGAAGAGCGCATCTTGTGGAGTTGAGATACCAAAGCAGCAGAGCCCTTGCGATTTATCAACTATCCGCTGGACCCCCACGCACCCGCTCACAGATTCACAATAGCATCCAAGTTCAAAAGACCATTTGATGCGACGGGGCTACCCGGCTGACCCCCGACTATGCCGTCTCTCGAGCGTGCCAGCACGCACACATTGGTTACCAGGAGTGGTTGGAAGTTGAACGCAATGCATAGATTGGTGTTCGCACACGCGTTGCAACACGCTCGGACGCTGTCCGCGCCTATGGACACGATCACATCAAGATCCAGCAACTGGGCACCGTTCTCAACTGGAGCACCGCCATCGCCACCGATATTGTTGCACTGTGAAGCGGGCGACGGGGACCCGGCGGTGTCGAAGTTAGGCATCATCTGGTAAGTCGGCTCCGTCTGGTACGTCGGTGTCGACATAACGTGAGGCTTCGCCTGGTACGTCGGTGTCGGCTTGACGTGAGGCTCCGCCTCATAAGTGTGCGGTGACCAGGTCGTTCCATCCACTGCGGTCGGTTTAGGCATGGCTCTCAAGTTACGAGTGCTGGAGACTCCGACAGGTCCTGCCAACGAGTAGGTGGCATCGTGATGCGCGAAGAGCGGGACATCGGCGGATGCAAGACCTGCGGCGAGAATGCCGGCTAAGATCAAGTTGGTCGAGAACATTGTAGATGGGAAGAGGAGGTTGGTGTTGCTGCCAAAGAGTAAAATGAGGAATAAACCTTGTAGCGCCAACGACACAGCGGGTCGTCAGGTGATTTCAGTAGACACAAGCAGAGAGCTTTCGGATGTCTTTCGTGCGTTTCAAAGCTTTCGAATGAACGAGGATAGTGGAACCTAAGCTACAAGTTATAATACTCGTCCGTAAAACAAAAGCGGTTGAGACAAGCGGCGGCAGTCAGGACTTTCACGAAAGGTTTCAGTGCGTTTATGAATCTGCTCCGAAGTTGACTTGGACGCTAGTCATGTGTCTGTTGCAGTTGCGACACTTTTGATACGTATCGAGTAAAAGCAAATATATGATGTGTTGGAGTGAAAGGCCAACACACACATATGGTAGAACTCATCGAGTACTTGCACGAATGTGTGTACCGACCTCAAATCAGGTCAACTCGCTGACGTCTTTGAGAAGTGTAGCGAGTCCCGATGAAGGACCGAGATTCACATAGCGTGGGTATGCCCACGCATCTGAAAGCTCTTTGCTGGGAAATATTGAAACCAATCTAGCACGAGTGTATCCAAACACCGAAGGGTGGGGCGTGTCATCAAGATGTTTTCCAATGGGCGAGGATCATCCGTTTAGCATGACGATCGACACAGCACAGAAAAAACAGAAGTGGGTATCGCTGTCGGTCGGTCGGCACAGGCCATGAGTCCTTTTCGTATACTGATGCAAGCTGACTTTCGATCTTGTCCGGGCGTCTCCGACGATGGTTTATCATGAATGAAAGCTCTCGGAGTATTCCGAGTGTCTAATCGTTCGTCATGAATGAAGCTCTCATTCTTCCAGACGAATGAAATCTAATTTAGGTGCGACCAGACAAAACCACAAACCTTTTACTAACCGATCGTGACTTATGATTGCCATGAACTTGGCGAGGGTAAAACGGGTATGAACCTGGTAGAACAACTTCATATCATTGGTTCAGTCAATTTGGTCAACGTACTAAACCTTTCCTTTGCACTATTCTTCCGACGTCTGCTGATGAACTTGTCGACTTGCACCTGTCATAACGATGGGTAGCCAATTGCGCCATACAGCTACGAAAGCAACGCACTGGCCTATGTATTCCAAAAGGTCAACAACAAGATTCGATCTAGTAGAAGAAAAAAGAAGGTCAAAAACACGTCTACATTCAAAAGTATGTTTTTCTTTATCCGACCACTAGTTTCAAGAAACTATTTGAAGCCTCTATCACGTCGGTAGTATGACGCGCAATGCACTCGACACGTCTCTCTCACGAACGATGCACTCTGTCGCGTTCCAACAGGAACACTTGGCACAGAGCGGTCCACGCTATGAAGAGCGCATCTTGTTAAGTTGAGATGCCAAAGCAGCAGAGCCCTTGCGATTTATCAACTATCCGCTGGACCCCCACGCACCCGCTCACAGATTCACAATAGCATCCAAGTTCAAAAGACCATTTGATGTGACGGGGCTACCCGGTTGACCCCCGACTATGCCGTCTCTCGAGCGTGCCAGCACGCACACATTGGTTACCAGGAGTGGTTGGAAGTTGAACGCAATGCATAGATTGGTGTTCGCACACGCGTTGCAACACGCTCGGACGCTGTCTGCGTCTATGGACACGATCACATCAAGATCCAGCAACTGGGCACCGTTCTCAACTGGGGCACCGCCATCGCCACCGATGTTGTTGCACTGTGAAGCGGGTGATGGGGACCCGGCGGTGTCGAAGTTAGGCATCATCTGGTAAGTCGGCTCCGTCTGGTACGTCTGCTCCGTCTGGTACGTCGGTGTTGAGGTAACGTGAGGATCCGTCTGATAAGTGTGTGGTGACCAGGTCGTGCGATCCACTGCGGTAGGTTTAGGCATGGATCTCAAGTTACGAGTGCTGGAGACTCCGACAGGTCCTGCCAACGAGTAGGTGGCATCGTGATGCGCGAAGTGCGAGACATCGGCGGATGCAAGACCTGCGGCGAGAATGCCGGCTAAGATCAAGTTGGTCGAGAACATTGTAGATGGGAAGAGGAGTTTGGTGTTGCTGCCAAAGAGTAAAATGAGGAATTAACCTTGTAGCGCCAAAAGACACAGCGGGTCGTCAGGTGCTTCAGCAGACACAAGAAGAGAGCTTTCGGATGTCATTCGTGCGTTTCAAAGCTTTCGAATGAACGAGGATAGTGGAACCTAAGCTACAAGTTATAATACTCGTCCGTAGACAAAAGCGGTTGAGACAAGCGGCGGCAGTCAGGACTTCGCGAAATGTTTCAGTGCGTTTATGAATCTGCTCCGAAGGTGACTTGGACGCCAGTCATGTGTCTGTTGCAGTTGCGACACTTTTGATACGTATCGAGTAAAAGCAAATATATGATGTGTTGGAGTGAAAGGCCAACACACACATATGGTAGAACTCATCGAGTACTTGCGCGAATGTGTGTACCGACCTCAAATCAGGTCAACTCGTGCACGTCTATGAGAAGTGTAGCGAGTCCCGATGAAGGACCGAGATTCACATAGCGTGGGTATGCCCACGCATCTGAAAGCTCTTTGCTGGGAAATATTGAAACCACTCTAGCACGAGCGCATCCAAACACCGAAGGGTGGGGCATGTCATCAAGTTGTTTTCCAATGGGCGAGGATCATCCGTTTGGCATTACGATCGACACAGCATAGAAAAAACGTGGGTGTTACGCTGTCGGTCGGTCGGCACAGGCCATGAGTCCTCTTCGTATACTGATGCAAGCTGACTTTCGATCTTGTCCGGGCGTCTCCGACGATGGTTTATCATGAATGATAGATCTCGGAGTATTCCGAGTGTCTATTTATTCGTATTCACTATAAGCACAGACAATTATGTCAATAAATACAGCGACAGATTATTGAATGTTTTGGCTGGTCACATCAGCTTTGCGGCTGCGAACGCTTGCAATAACCACAAGCTGTTTGATTAAATATCTTCGATATGATGCCTCTATGAATTGTAAACAGAACATATCATCAGATAAACTCTTTATGGATAAGTATACGCATGTCAAATGAAATTTTGCCAAAAGCTACTTGCATGGTTTATCTTTTTTGAGATACAAGATATATTGTAGTCATTTAGTACGACTACTTATGTAAATGTCCGCCCGCCAAAAGTCTATCAGCTGTAACAACAGCTACGACTTATTTAAGTCTTTCGAGACCAAAGATACCCACCAGGAAATGCAGGTATCACACATTAACAATACCCGCCTGCCAGGTCGGTTCGCCTGCTGTCAGACCAATCGTCGAATTGGTCAGAATACAGACGTTGGTTACCAAAAGTGGCTGGAAGTTAAATGCAACACACAGACTGGTGTTCACACACGCATTGCAGCACGCTTGGACACTGTCAGCGCCTACGGACACGATAACCCCGATATTCAGGAACTGTACACCGGCGTTAACTTGAAGGCCGCCTTCGTCACCAATTTTGTCACACTGTGTAGCCAGCGTAAGGTTCGTGCTAGCTGGGCGGTCGACCGGAGTTTTGGTGGTGTTACCTGATGCAATTGTGTCGCACGGAGCAGTCATGTTTCCCGTGCCACCTAGTTTAGTCGCGTCAGTTGGGTGAGTGTCCTTGGATCCGTTAGTGTGGTAGGTGCCCGTAATGTCTTTGGATGGATAACTTGACGATTTCATCGTGTGCGCTTCAGTATTTTTGTAATGTCCACTGCTCTCATGGTGCTCAATCATGCCATCATGCGTAAAACCGGGTGTGTAGTGTCTCGTCGAGTCATGTTCGGTAACACCAGGCTCGTAGTGCCCTGTGACTTTCGCATCACCTGCAGTGAGCGATTTGCTACCGTAATTTCCGCCCTCGGAGCTCATGTGGCCGTGACTGGCGTCCTCGGTACTTATGTGGCCGTGATTGTAGCCTTCACTTATGCCAGTAGTCATGTGGCCCTGGTCAACACCGTCCGACATCATGTGGCCATGGTCGTTGTTCTCGAACTTCATGTTGCCATGATCACCACCCACGGACTTCATGTGGCCATATTCGTTATTATCGGACTTCATGTGGCCGTGATTGTCGTTATTAGGCTTCACGTTGCCATGGTCGCCACCCTCAGACTTCATGTTGCCATGGTCGCCACCCTCAGACTTCATGTGGCCATGGTCGTCGTTATTGGACTTCATGTTGCCATGGTCGCCACCCTCAGACTTCATGTGGTCATTGTTATTGTTCACGGACTTTACGTTGCCACCACTGTAGGACTTCATGTGGCCATGGTTGTCGTTCTCGGACTTCATCTTGCCATGATCTTCGCCGTTTGACTTCGTGTGGCCATGATCACCACCCTCAGACTTCATGTGGCCATGGGTGTTGTTCTCGGACTTCATGTGGCCGTGGTCGCCACCCTCGGGCTTCATATTGCCATGATCGCCACCATTGGACTTCATGTGGCCATGGTCAATGTTCTCGGACTTCATGTGGCCATGATCACCACCCACGGACTTCATGTGGCCATATTCGTTGTTATCGGACTTCATGTGGCCGTGATTGTCGTTATTAGGCTTCATGTGGCCATATTCGTTGTTATCGGACTTCATGTGGCCGTGATTGTCGTTATTAGGCTTCATGTTGCCATGGTCGCCACCCTCAGACTTCATGTGGCCATGGTCGTCGTTATTGGACTTCATGTTGCCATGGTCGCCACCCTCAGACTTCATGTGGTCATTGTTATTGTTCGCGGACTTTACGTTGCCACCACTGTAGGACTTCATGTGGCCATGGTTGTCGTTCTCGGACTTCATCTTGCCATGATCTTCGCCGTTTGACTTCGTGTGGCCATGATCACCACCCTCAGACTTCATGTGGCCATGGGTGTTGTTCTCGGACTTCATGTGGCCGTGGTCGCCACCCTCGGGCTTCATATTGCCATGATCGCCACCATTGGACTTCATGTGGCCATGGTCAATGTTCTCGGACTTCATGTGGCCATGATCACCACCCACGGACTTCATGTGGCCATATTCGTTGTTATCGGACTTCATGTGGCCGTGATTGTCGTTATTAGGCTTCATGTGGCCATATTCGTTGTTATCGGACTTCATGTGGCCGTGATTGTCGTTATTAGGCTTCATGTTGCCATGGTCGCCACCCTCAGACTTCATGTGGCCATGGTCGTCGTTATTGGACTTCATGTTGCCATGGTCGCCACCCTCAGACTTCATGTGGTCATTGTTATTGTTCGCGGACTTTACGTTGCCACCACTGTAGGACTTCATGTGGCCATGGTTGTCGTTCTCGGACTTCATCTTGTCATGATCTTCGCCGTTGGACTTCGTGTGGCCATGATCACCACCCTCAGACTTCATGTGGCCATGGGTGTTGTTCTCGGACTTCATGTGGCCATGATCGCCATCATTGGACTTCATGTGGTCATGGTCGTTGTTTTCGGACTTCTTGTGGCCATGGTTACCTTCCTTGGCTGTGCCAGCAGCCATGTGGCCGTGGTCGCCACCCTTGGAATTTATGTGGCTATGTTTGGAATCCTTTGTTGTCATGTGCTCGTAATGCTTGCCTTTGGAATTCATGTGGCCGTGACTGGCGCCCTTGGTACTCGTGTGGCCATGGTGTGTACCTTCGCTGTTCATGTGACCGTGGTTGACGATTTCGGTTGTGCTGGTGGTCATGCTACCGTAGATACCCGGGATTTTCTCGTCGGAAGCAATGTCACAATTAATACCGAGTGGTGCTATTTGTGTTTTTTCATGCTTTGCTTCTTCACCGGTGTGCCCTTTGCTGGTTACGGCATCTGCTGCAGAACTGTACGCACGCTGAGGGAATGCACATCCCCACGTGTCATCGATTACTAAGACACACTCAGCGTCAACAGGGGCGACGCACACCGCTCCACTGTAGGACAACAGGTACGGCATGCAGTCTGCAGTTGCGACGTCCCCGGCCTTAGGACAATTTGTGCCAGCAGGCTTCGCTCCGTCACCTGAGCAGGACAAACCGCGAGATTCCGGTAACGAGTAAGTGGCATCATATTGCACTGAAATCGGAACGTCAGCGGATGCCAGGCTAGCGGCAAGGATACCGGCTATGGCCAAACTTCTCGAGGTCATTCCTTTTTTGCGAAGGGAAGGTTGGTATTGCCACCAAAGAGGAAATTGGGGGAATGAGCTTTGGTCAAAGTGCATCGCCGGGAGAAGCAAACATTAGGAGATTCTTGTGCATTTGGGTGAAACCCATAGAAGAAGCGTGTTACAATTTTTCCGTATGCTGCGAATCATTGAGACAGCCCTTCGCTTTAGGCTTTCACTGTAAGTTTCATAATTTACGAAACGGTTAAGACGCTGTTTCCTGCGCCTGTCATGGCTATAAAACCGTCGCCACCGAACAGAACAACTCACAAATGACAAACCGCTTTGAATTATAAAGAAGGAATCATATTGAGTAGGTGGGCTTCAAGTCTATGTATTGAAAGGGCTGCAAATAATTCATTTCGCAGTCTTTTTAACTTAGACTAGTATAGATGTGTCTGCGTGACGACTTCTTAACAAAAGCGCTCGAATAAACAACCGCAGCTTTTTGACTGCGTCCTAAACCAGTCGATCAGTTCCATTTTCAATAGTGTTCGTGTTCGTGTCTCATGAATCATATCCATTTTGCTTTTGACCGAATATCACCTTAAAACGTTTTCGCAACACCAACAATGAGCCCGAAATTGCAAATGAAATGAGCTTTAACACGACAGAGTCAGCAAAAAAGAAACGCATAGTATAGTATTACCTACGAAAGTACACGACCTTTCACATGAATGAGGATCGCGCCACAATTCAAGTGCGTCGGGAGAGAAGAAGCTGACGACTCGCAAAGGTCACAGTGTGATCAGTCACAATCTTCGGAATCAAGACTCTTGGTCTCCAGTCAGCCAGCCAGCGATCATATTGCGCTTTCAAAAGTCACTCCTTGTGATCGATCGAATTCTCCCTCATTGGCCTCGATCGAGTTCGCCCTCTTTGGCCTCGATCGAGTTCGCCCTCTTTGGCCTCGATCGAAAATGTGAGGGCAGCGTAGCGCGCTCCATGCCGTATTAGACTGCAAGAGGAGTCTATTTCTAGCTTTCTGGCGTAAGCCTTGTAGTGCGACCAGGATTTAAGAACATATGCCGATGGAGAAACTCGTATAAATGAAAAAATGGGTTGCCTTGATACGTGACTATATCTATCGCCAGAGGGTCACTGTTATTAAGTCCTATTGGACGCTGACTAAGCAATACAAGAACAAGAAGCTCAAGTGCAATGCATTGAGTTACCGATGAATAGGCGATTCATGAAAACACCTTAAAATTTCAGGTAGCATGGAAAGGTTCTTCCAACCGAATGCATCGCGATGTAAATCATGAGGGTTCCCCCCTGGTGCCTTGGGTAAGCACCGGCTGTGTCGTAAGTGGCGCAGGTTCAAACCCGCTTCGACCAACCCAAATTCAAAAACAATGTGGTACACACTTCTCTCACTGGTACCCCCGGGGAACCCTGGTACCAGTGAATACGGCCTCTCGTAGTAGCATAAACCCCAATACAGAATAATTGGGGCTATCCGGACAGATTGGCACCCAGTACATTCGGCAGAACAGCACGATATCCATGAACGGTCAGGAATGGGTAGGCCCTCGCCGAAGTGGACAGTACTAGGTCGTTAGGAATACTAAATGAACCGGCTGTACCGAAGGGAAAAAAGATATGGATTACCAATAACGCAAAGGTTGGGCAGAGTTTAGAGACCACTGGCACCGCTTAGAGCAGTACCAATACTGGCGAACGGCTAAGGTATGCGGCCCTGCTCTATTCCTATTGTACCGTTCTCGTCGGCGGTAATGCTGTCTTGGACTTAAACACTAAAGCAAGTGGAGAATATTGAAGGCTTATCATCTACATACAAAAAGAAATTTCAATTACGTGACATGAAGACGGGCGCTTCAAAAAGAAGCCTCCACGTACAACGTGGGCTCACCTTGAAATAGCGCGAAGAAGCGATATTACCGTCTTACCTCCGCGTGTGGTGGTGGTTGCGTTGGTCGGTCGCTTACTGCGCCAATCCAATTGTTGCCGGTTGCTTTTAGAGAACCACGCAGCATACTTCTAACAAATACCTTACTTACGACACGCGAAAGCTTATTCAGCTTCTCGTTCGTAGTGATAGGTAGTTAGCAAATTCAATACTGACTTATATGTAATAAAAATTAACTAAATATAGCTTCTTACTACTGATTGGTTAGTTACGCAAAGATTGGATACGCGTTTCTTTGAAAGCGTATCCCTACATGCAAGCTTAAAATATATGTAAGCTCGCTGATGACGTCTGTACGAAGCCTCACCATGACGCCCAGTCCCAACTGGGCGTCATCCTCGTTGAATAAAAAAATTTTCATGGATATTTCATTTACGAGGGTGGGTCACACTGATGTGTCACACCCAAATGACAGACCTAAGGTACCACGTACCTTATTAGAACTTACCTTTAAATATTATGGACTCATGTAACCATTGGCACTTTACACCATTCCAATCTTCAAAGATATTTTTACGTTTTGTACAACATCGAAAAGCAAGAAGATGTCACCGAAACGTGGTAAGGCTGATAGGTCGTCTGAAAAAGCGCCCATTCAAATAAATTAAAAGCACACGCGACGCGATTATTCGCAGCCGTCCCGCTAAGTGTCTCTGTGATAACTCCGACATCTTATGTCAGCTTATTAGCAGAGAACACTAATCTATCTTACATTTGTGAGGAAGATGATATGTTCTTCATTATGAATTACAATTAGAGCACGCCATTGCCATTATTTCGAAGTGGTGATGAGCACAGTGTTATAATGCTACCCAATACATAAGCAGTTGTAGGAAATAATACAAAATTACATAGTAGGTATGGAGCAGTGTGCTATAAGCGAGTACTGCGCGTCATTATATTATTGGTTGATTATTGGGGTACCAGACCCAATAATTAGCCAATAATAAATTGACATCCATATTGAGTGGTTCTTATGAGCTAAGGAACATATTCGCACTTACTGCAAATTAAAACTAAACAAAAAAACAGAGTTATATTTACGAGTTAATTAAGAGCGCTTCCTCAACGCCCTTTTAGTGTAAGACAGTAACGATAATTTTTTCTTGTTACGCACAGTTCTTTGATAAGACATATTTCTTCATCATTTCAAGCACCCAACCTTCAGGAACCTTCCATGCTTGCTGACAGCGAGGGTCATGCCTCACTAGCACCCCGTCGCGAGGGCGGCTACGTGAGTGGTGGCTTGCCACTATTGTCAATGCCATTCGAGTGGTTATACTCGAGTTTATTATAGTGCGAAGGCCCTAGAGCGTGCCAATTCTCCTTCGTGTTGCGTTCGAATAATACAGGTGGCGAATACAAGGCAGAGTGCCTACGCCATATAAAACCACATGCAGATGCAGTGAAACAGCTGTCGCAGAGAAAGCTTCGCTATGACGCGTGCGAGGGAAATATTGGGTACTAACATATATATAAATCCTTCTCATCACGCTGTCCCTGCTAGTCCATTAGGACCTAGCAGAGCGAGTGCAATTGGTGCTTCTGCTCGTAAGCAGTCTTCAGCTCAGGCACGTCGACACGCAACGCGTCAACCGTTACCCAAGAGTCGAATCTCTTCGGGTATCCTTTCCACTGGGCAAGGATCTAAAGCTTATGATTCACATGGCGGTGTGCCAACAACCATTTAACAAGGAAGCGTGTGTCCCCACCCGCATCCTACAACACAGGTGGCGCCTGATAAGGAGCTTTGATTACGGCCAACTAATCGCAGCTGCCTATCCTGCTGTCATTCAGTCGCAGGCGGAGATCGCTGCGCTAAAGAGAGAGAAGGCGAATCTCTCGAGTCAAGCCTCGCGACTGAATTCGGATCTACTCAATGTGAATACGAGGGATCGTCAGGTAATGACCGCCTGAAGGCCCGTTTGGACATACATGAGCGACTGGTGACGAGAGACCCGCGTCCAAAGCGAAGTCATCCTCGATCACCGAGTCCTCTGTCGTCTGTCTCGTTTACGAGAAGTCGTTCACCTTCCCCGTCTCCTGATCGGCAACGACGCTCGACTCACAGTCGACGACACCATCGGTCTCGCTAGACTGATGCGTATATGTGATCTCTTGTGGATTCACTTACCGTTTCAGACGACCCACGTAATATACGGGGTGCGTCGTCATATACGGTGAGAGAGTGAGCCAATAGTTTAGGTCTCCAACTTCTTCATTCACTGTTAAGGGCCCAATGAATCGGGGCAATAGCTTAGTAGTACCACCAGGTAGTACAGAAATTGCATCTTTA